GTGCAAGGGCTGTGGCACACGTGCCACTTGTTTTCTAACCGTTTTCGCTCGCTGATGAGAGTCCCAGGCCTTCATGCTGGCTCGAAGCCAGCGGGCGCGGAGGCCCCGCCGCCCTGCGCGGGCGCCGCCATCGTGGCGGCCAGCCCCGGCGCGCCGGGCGGGCCCGCGGGCCGACGAAGCGCCGGGCGTGCCCAGCAAGCCAGGCCTCTCCTCCGTCCTTCGGGGTTCTCCTCCCTCCTTCCATGCCCCCCTCCTTCTCTCCTCTCCTCCTCTCCCTCCTCCTCACCCCCCCTGCTCCCGCCCCCCTCCCCCCCTCCTCCACCCCCCCCCTCCTCCCGCCCCCCTCCCCCCTCCTTCCTCCTCCCTCCTCTCTCCTCCCTCTCCCTCCCACCTTCCCCCTCCTCCCTCCCCCCCTCTTCCCTCCTCCCTCATCTCTCCTCCCTCCTCCCTCCCTCCCTCCTCCCTCCTCCCTCCTTCCCTCCTCCCTTCCCCTTTCCCTCCCTCCCTCCCTCCTCCTCCTCCTCCCGCTCCCTCCTCCTCCCCCTCCTCCTCCTCCTCTTCCTCCTCCCCCTCCTCATCCGCCTCCTTTTCCTCTTCCTGTTCACACAATATGAATACTACTCTCCTCTCTCCCCTCAATATGTCTGGAAGATGTCCGGCCCACCTCCGCACTTCTTACACACAGGATTCCGGCGAGTTGGTTTCCATTTGTGCTTTCACAATCCGACTCTTCTCGGTCCTTCAACATGTTGCTCCCGCTGCAGCGCTGGCCCCATTTCTGCGTCTCTGGTTGTTCCAAATCGAGTTTCCGCTGCCGCGCGGGCGTTTTCCGTCCTACACAACAGGCCCAACATCTAGAAAATGACCCTCCGAAATTAGCCTGACAAAGGACGCAACCATAGGCAGCGGCAAGAACCGCGAGGGAGATGAGACGAAAGAGGGGGGCACGCCAACCCCGAATAGCACACGCGGTATACCCTCCGCTCTTATAGGCAGCGCGCTGCAGGAAGAACGAGGCGCGGGGCAGTGCGGGCAGGGGGGGGACGAGTGGGCGGGACGTATGCGAACTTGCGCTGGAGCTCCCCAAGGGCCACGAAGCGCGTGAGGGGTGTGCCGAAGTGGGCGGAGGGTGGGGGGGCGCGTGCGAACGACGCCGCTGGGGCCTTCGGACGGGCTTCCTATGGGGCTACGAGGCGTGTGAGGGGTGTGCCACAATGAGTGTGGCGGACGCATGTGGGCACCGCCACTGGGGCCTTCGGTGGAGCTCCCTATGGGGACACGAAATGTGTGAAGGGTGTGCCGACATGGGTCGGGCGGACGCATGTGGCCGCGCCCGCCGTGGCCTCAGGTGGAGCTCCCTGTAAGGCCACGAAACGTGTGAGGAGTGCGCCGAAATGTGTGTGGCAGACGCGTGTGGCCACCCCACTGGGGCCTTAGGCGTAGCTCCCTTTGGGGCGACCAAGCGCTTTACTGGGTGTGGCGGACGCATGTGGCCATACACACACACACACACACACACACACACACACACACTGGAGTCTTTGGTTGAGCTCCCTATGGAGCCACTTCGCTGGGTGTGGCGGACGCATGTGGCCACCCTCATTGGGGCCTTCGGTGGAGCTCCCTATGGGGCCACGAAACGCCGCACTGGGTGTGGCGTTGGAGCTCCCTATGGGGCCACGGAACGCTGTACTGGGTGTGGCGGACCCTATGGGGCCACGAAACGCTGTACTGGGTGCGGCGGTCTCATGGAGGCACCCCCGATGGGGCTTTTGGTGGAGCTCCCTATGGGGCCACGAAACGCTGTACTTGGTGTGGCGGGCGCATGCGGGCACCCCCACTGGAGCCCTCGGTGGGGCTCCCGATGGGGCCGCGAAACGCTCTACTGGGTGTGGCGGACGCATGCGGGCACTCCCACTGATCCCTTCGGTGGAGCTCCCTATAGGGCCACGAAGCGCTGTACTGGGTGTGGCGGACGCATGCGAGCACCCCCACTGATGCCTTCAGTGGGCCCCCTCTGGGGCCACGAAACGCTGTACTGGGTGTGGCGGGCGCATGCAGGCACCCCCACTGATCCCTTCGGTGGAGCTCCCTGTGAGGCTTCGAAACGCTGCACATGTGTGGCGGACGCATGTGGCCACCGACACTGGGGCCTCCGGTGGAGCTCCCTATGGGGTCACGAAACACTGTCCTGGGCGTGGCGGACGCACGCGGGCACCCCCACTGATCCCTCCGGTGGGGCTCCCTATGGGGCCACGAATCGCTGTACTGGGTGTGGCGGGCGCATGTGGGCACCCCCAATGTGGCCTTCGGTGGAGCTCCCTATGGCACCTAGTACGGCGATTCGTGGCCCCATATGGAGCTCCACTGACGGCCCCAGTGCTACCGCCGGCCACACCCAGTACGGCGCTTCGCGGCCCCATATGGGGCCCCACCTAAGGCCTCAGGGGGGGGTACCACATGCGTCCGCCACACCCAGTACAGCGCTTCGTGGCCCCATGGGGAGCTCTACCCAAGGCCCTAGAGGGGGGGAGCCACATGCGTCGGCCACAAACAGTGCGGCGTTTCGTGGCCCCATAGGGAGCTCCACCTAAGGCCCCAGGGGGGGTACCACATGCGTCCGCCACACCCAGTACGGCGCTTCGTGGCCCCATAGGGCCGCACACCCAATATGGCAGTTTCAGCCACCCAGTATATTGCTTCGTTTCCCCATTGGGAGCTCCACCGAAGCCCCCAGTGGGACCGCCCGCATGCGTCCCGCACACGCAATTTGACATTTTCACCCACCCCGTACAGCGTTTCGTGGCCCCAATAGGGAGCTCCACCGAAGCCCCCAGTGGGACTGCCCACGTACGTCCCACACACCCAATTTGGCACTTTCACCCTCCCAATACAACGTTCAGTGGCCCCATAGGAATCTCCACCGAAGCCCCCAGTGGGACCGTCCGCATGCGTCCTGCACACCCAATTTGGCATTTTCAAACACCCGGTATAACGCTTGGTGTCCCCATTAAGAGCTCCACCGAGGCCCCCAGTGGGACGGCCCACATGCGCCCCGCACACGCAATTTGACATTTTCACCAACCCACTACAGCGCTTCGTGGCCCCATAGGGGGCTCCACCGAAGCCCCCAATGGGACCGTCCGCATGCGCCCCGGAAGCCCAATTTGGCATTTTCACCCTCCCAGTACAGCCAGTGGGACCGTCCGCATGCGTCCCACACACCCAAATTGGTATTTTCCCCCACACAGTACAACGTTTCGTGGCCCCATAAGGAGCTCCACAGACGGCCCCAGTGCCACCGCCCGCATGCGTTCTCCCCCACCCAGTGCAGCGCTTCGTGGCCCCATAGGGAGCTTCACCGAAGAAGACAAACGCTGTTCGGGGTGGGTAAACATGACAAATTGCGTGTGCGGGACCATGCGGGCGGTCCCACTGGGGGCTTCGGTGGAGCTCCCTATGGGGAAACGAAACGCTGTACTAAGTGAGTGAAAATGCAAAATTGTGTGTGTGGGACGCATGCGGACGGTTCCACTGGCCACGAAACGCCGTACTGGGTGTGGCGGACGCATGTGGGGCCACGAAACGCCGTACTGGGTGTGGCGGATGCATGTGGTACCCTTCCTGGGGCCTTAGGTGGAGCTCCCTATGGGGCCACGAAACGACGCGCTGGGTGTGGCAAACGCATGTGGTACCCTTCCCCTGGGGCCTTAGGTGGAGCTCCCTGTGGGACCACGCAACGCCGTACGGGGTGTGGCGGACGCATGTGGTCCCCCCCCTGGGGCCTTAGGTGGAGCTCCCTGTGGGGCCACGAAACGCCGTACTGGGTGTGGCGGATGCATGTGGTACCCTTCCTGGGGCCTTAGGTGGAGCTCCCTATGGGGCCACGAAACGCCGTACTGGGCGTGGCAAACGCATGTGGTACCCCCCTCTCTGAGGCCTTACGTGGAGCTCCCTATGGGGCCACGAAACGCCGCACTGGGTGTGGCGGACGCATGTGGTACCCCCCCCTGGTGCCTTACATGGAGCTCCCTGAGGCGGACGCATGTGGTACTCCCCCCTTGGGCCTCTAGGTGGAGCTCCATATGGGGCCACGAAACGCCGTACTGGGTGTGGCGGACGCATGTGGTACCCCCCCCCTCTGGGGCCTTAGGTGGAGCTTTCTATGGGGCCACGAAGCGCCGTACTGGGCGTGGCGGACGCATGTGGTACCCCCCCCCTGGGGCCTTCGGTGGAGCTCCCTATGGGGCCACGAAACGCTGTACTGGGTGGGTGAACGCATGGAGGAGGGAGGAGGGGGAGGAGGGAGCAGGAGGAGGAGGAAGAGGAGGAGGAGGAGTGAGTGAGTGAGTGAGTGAGTGAGTGAGTGAGTGAGTGAGTGAGTGAGTGAGTGAGTGAGTGAGTGAGTGAGTGAGTGAGTGAGTGAGTGAGTGAGTGAGTGAGTGAGTGAGTGAGTGAGTGGGACGCGGGGCGCTGTCTCTTCAAAACGAGGACCCAACACCACAGGATGGTTGGGCATATGGTTGGGTCCTTCGCCAGGATATTAAATATTCTTCCTATAGATGAACAGGCCCGACTTAAACATAGTCTTGGTATGTTGAGGTGACGCCGAATCCAAAGGCCAGTTTCGGGCCGCGCGACCCTGGGGTTCCGACGACCCCCCTGGCCCGGCGAGGGCCCGCAGAGACCAAAAAGACTGCGAAGCGAAGCTGAAGACAAACCAACTATTCAAAAAATGGCAATAAGAGCACACACACACACATACATACAGAACATAATCCGTCGTACTATTTCTTCAAAGCCAGGAGGCCTGTTGGAGGCCTGGGAATGGGCACCATCACCAACACAATGGGTTGCCTCCACAGGGGGAAGACGATTCTGGATTTCGGTGTCGGTGGTAGTATTTCGGTCACCCTGGAAGCCAGAAACTTACCTTCACCGAGATCGGGATTTTCTGCCCCCGGTGGATGCACACCGCCGGTGTTGGTGTTGGTGTCGATCTCTGGGCCTGCGAGCCTGGTCCGCTCGAGCCGCCGGAGCTCCGGGTCGCCACGCCGACGGCCAGCTGTTTCTGGGCGCGCGGCTGCCGGCGGTCGCCACAGCGACGGCAGCGGCCGAGCCTCGTGCGCACGTCCAGGGGTGGCACTCGCAGACAACCTCTCCAGCCCTCCTTCCGAGAGAGGAGGACGGGAGGACGGGGAGAGGGAGAGGGAGGGAGGGAGGGAGGGAGGGAGGGGAGGGGAGGAGGAGGGAGAGTAGGAGGAGGAGGAGGAGGAGGAGGAGGACGAGGAAGGAGGAGGAGGAGGAGGCAGGAGGAGGAGGAGGGAAGGAGAGAGGAGTAGGAGAAGGACGAGGGGAGGGAGGAGGAGGAGGAAGAGGAGGGAGGAGGAGGATGAGGAGGAGGAGGAGGAGGAGGAGGAGGAGGAGGAGGAGAGAGGAGGAGGAGGAGGGAGGAGGAGGAGGAGGAGGGAGAGGAGGAGGAGAGGGAGGAGGAGGAGCGAGGAGGGGAGGAGGAGTCGAGAGGAGGAGGAGGAAGGAGGAGGAGAGGAGCGAGGAGGAGGAGAGGAGGAGGAGGGAGGAGAGGGGAGGAGGAGGAGGAGGGAGGAGGTAGGAGGGAGGAGGGAGGAGGAGAGGAGGAGGGAGGGGGAGGAGCGAGTCGGAGAGAGGAGGAAGAGGAGGAGAGGAGGAGGAGGAGGAGGAGGAGGGGAGGAGGAGGAGGAGGAGGAGGAGCGAGGAGGAGCGAGGAGGAGCGAGGAGGAGGTGGAGGAGGAGGAGGAGGAGCGAGGAGCGAGAATGCGGCGGACGAGCGCCGCCTCGACGCGGCAACGCCCGCCTTCGCCGCCGAACGCTGCGCGAGGCGGCGGCGCGCGCTGCTGCGCCGCTGGGGAGAGGCTCGCGGAGCTGCCGGGGGGGGGCGCTGGCCTCGCCGCACTTGCCAGCGGCGCAAGCGGCGGGGCCCCTCCTGCGGCACTGCGGCACTGCGACGCCGCGGGCGCCGGTCGACCGCCAGAGCGGGTGGGGCCCCACGAGGTGCCAAGAGGGCCCCAAGAGGGCCCCACGAGAGCCCCCAAGGCACTCAAAAAAGGGCCTCCAAGAGGGCCCCAAGAGGGCCCCACGAGGGCCCCAAGAGGCCTCCAAGAGGCGCCCAGAGCGTAACCGCACGCTGCTACACATCCCTGCTGCGCACCAACCCGCCTGCGAGCACGCGGGCAGCCGGCGCCGCCTAGAATGCGGCCGCCCTGGAGGCCTACCAGGCACTGGCGCACCTGGACCCCTTGACGGCGGTTGGGCGCTGCCCGAATGGGGGGGCGATGAATGGCGGGGCGAAGAAACGCGCCCCAGCCCCAGGGGGCCCCTTGGGGGCCCCAAAGGTGCACGAGAGGTGCACCCTTCTCCGCCCCCCCATGATCGATCGCCCCCCACTACGCGAGGCCCACTGCCGGCTGCCGCTGCGACGGACTCGGCGGGCGCGGCTTCCAGGGTCGGGCACCGGCGCTGGGCGGCGCGGCCGGCCCTGGTGTCGCCCCGCTGCACGCGCCGCTCAGAGGGTGGCTCGGGCGGGCGGCGATAGAACGCCTCCGCCGCGCCATGAGGAGCGAGGAAGAACGAGGCGGAGGGAGGAGGAGGAGGAGGAGGAGGAGGAGGAGGAGGAGGAGGAGGAGGAGGAGGAGTGAGAAGAGAGAAAGAAGAGCGGAAAGGAGGAGCGAAGAGGAGGAGCGAGCGAGGGCTGGAACTGGAGAGGAGCGGAAAAAGGAGCGAGGGAGGAGGAGTGAGTGAGGCGAGGCGCGGAGGACTGGAGCGAGGAGCGAGGAGGAGCGAGGAGGAGGAGGAGGAGAAGCGAGGCGAGGGCAGGAAGAGCGGACAAGAGGTCTGGGGGGGTGTGGGGGGGGGGGCCAAGGCCCAGAGCAGGGGCCGCGCCGTGGCCGGTGGAGCTGGGCAGGAGGGAGGCCGCCATCCAGTGCTGCGCTCTCCTTCCCACGCCTCCTCCCTCCCCCGCCCTCCACTCCCCCGCCCTCTCCCCCCTCCACGTCCCCCTCCACGTCCCCCCTCCACGTCCACTCCCCCGCCCTCTCCCCCCTCCACGTCCCCCCTCCACCCCTCCACGTCCCTCCACGTCCCCCCTCCATCGTCCCCCGCCACGTCCCCCCCACGTCCACGTCCCCCCTCCACGTCTCCACCCCCCCGCCCTCTCCCCCCTCCTCGTCCCACCCTTCTCCGTCTCCAGCCTCGAGTCACCCCCGGCTGGCTCCCCGCGAGTTCTGCCCCCATCCCCCTCCACCCTCCCGCTGCACCCCACTCCTCCTCCCCCCCCCCTCCAAGCGCCTGCCCTGCCCATCGCTCTCGTCCCCTGAAGATGACCTGACCATGGACACCTCCGGCACCGCGGACCCACAACAACCCACCCCAACAAATGCCCAACACCCGTCTCACCTCCTCATCCTCCCCTGAACCAAGGATTGCAAAAAAACGAAGGATTGCAACAAAAAAAAGGATTGCAAAAAAAACGAAGGATTGCAAAAAAAAACCCTTGAACGAAGGGTTTGTTTGCAATCCTTCTATTTGCAATCTTTTTTTTGCAATCTTTTTTTTGCAATATTTGTTTTGCAATCCTGGTGTTTTTTTTTTGCATCTTCCTCCCTCCCCTTCCCAGCCCCGTCCTCCCCATCGCCATCCCCCACCGGAAGATGACACGGCCCCGGGCGCGTCGGACACCCCGGACCCACAAGCAGCCACGCCCGCAGATGCCCGGCGCACCACGCCCAGCGGATTCCTCCTGCCCCTCCCCCGCCTCCTCCCCTTCTGAGACTCTGAGCACCTGCCAGACAAGGCCAGACTTACGTCGGGCATGCCCCCCATACAGGTGGACTTTGGACGAGACGAAAAATAGAGAATGACCCCAAAAAGCTCCGACATGGTCGAAAAGAGTCGGAACATCGTCCCCTGACAATTTGTGGACTGTTCTTGAACACTCCACTTGTAGAGGGACAGGCCCGACTCAAGGCCAGACCAGACCCACCATGCGACCCAGAGGGTAGTTCGGACTCCCATGGACTCACGGCGAGCGAGGGGGGAAGTGGGAAGGGGAAGGCCTTCTCGGAAGGCTCAGAAGTCCCCCGGCCTCCTGCAAGGCTTTCTAAGCCTTACGGCAGGTCCGTGTCGTGCCGACTTCGGCGTTGGTTTCTGACACCGCGGGGATCGTTCAACCTTGAACGATCGGCCGTTTTCGAAACGTCCAATCGTTCCACATCGAACGATTCTGGGTCGCCCGCGGCGTTCAAAGTTGAACGCCGCTGGCGGGGTCGCCGCCGGTCCACACGACACGAACCTACCGTACCCGAGGACACAGAAAACGTCTCAAAAGGCCGGGGGGGCTTCTGCAAAGCCCCGCCGCATTCTGAGAAGCTCGCCGCCCAGTGGGAAACGGACGGGACACCGAGCTCCCGAGGGGAGCACGCACGGGCCCACGAGGGCGGCGGGCGGGGCCCTCGTGGGCCGCAGGTGGGCACTCCTGGGCGGACGGGTCCGCTCACGGGCACCCGCGGAGCCCCGTCGTGCCGTGAAGCTCGCGGGCAGAAAGAAGACGAAGAGGAAGCCAACAACAACAACAACAACAACAGCAACAACAACGACGACGACAACAACAACGACAACGGCGACGACGACGACGACAACAACGACAACAACAACAACAGCAACAACAGCAACAACAACAACAACGACAACAACAACAACAACGACAACAACAACAACAACAACAACAACAACGACAACGACAACGACAACGACGACGACGACGACGACAACAACGACAACAACAACAACAACAGCAACAACAGCAACAACAACAACAATAACAACAACAACGAAAACAACAACAACAACAACAACAACAACAACAGCAACAACAACGACGACGACGACAACAACAACAACGACAACGACGACGACGACAACAACGACAACAACAACAACAGCAACAACAGCAACAACAACAACAACGACAACAACAACAACAACAACGACAACAACGACAACAACAACAACGACAACGACAACGACAACGACGACGACGACGACGACGACAACAACGACAACAACAACAACAACAACAACAGCAACAACAGCAACAACAACAACAACAACGAAAACAACAACAACAACAACAACAACAACAACAACAACAACAACAACAACAACAACAACAATTACTAGCACGTGGGGACACTCCGTTCTCACCAGTGCCAGGGTTTTCATAGGAGGCGGGCAATACCCCCACTTTGTGGGGGGGCCGGTTCAAGCTCTACCAAATTTCCAAACGACTCTTCGCCACCACCCACACCCAGCTTCCCGCCCTATGACGTTCGGACACTTCACTTCGTGGCATGCGGACGACCGTGGCTACTATTCAGGGCCCCGCGGCCGACGACGACGGCGTGCGCGCGCGAAGAAAAAACGAATGTGTCCCGCATGGTATTATTTGACAGGGATGATGGCCCTGGCAGGTGCGCAACCGTTGTCGCAGAAGTTCGAAAAAGTTGCTCGCAAAAGCCCGTTTGACAGAAATGTTTAAAAAGTGTTGGGTTTCCTACGAATCCGCAAGAGCGCGCGGGATGAGATTTTGACATTTTTTTTGTTGAAAAACCATTGGTTTTTTGATGTTTTTATGTTAAAATCGCTGCGAACACTAAGGTTTTGGAAGGATTTCGTCTTGCGCGCGCGAATGTCCACTTTACCTTATTTTTTGCAAGGGATTCTTGAAATTTGATTATATTAGAACAAGAAATGTCATTTTCTATTGTTTTTTGCAAGGGAAAGCGGATTACAACAAAACAACCGGATCCTGTACACACCCTCTTTTCTGAGGCTTCCTCACGAAAATGATGAAAATGTAGCTGCGGCCTAGGCGGCGCAGGGGGGGCGCGCACCAGGGGGCCCAACAATAATTATTCTTTAGAATAAATAATGTTCAACAACAACAACGACGACGACGACGACGACAACAACGACAACAACAACAACAGCAACAACAACAATAACAACAACAACGAAAACAACAACAACAACAACAACAACAACAACAACAACAACAACAACAACAACAACAAGTCGACACGTGCACTGCCCACCCGTCCACGGCCCGACAG